GTCCATGGACCAACCGGCAGGTCTCACTTCAGACGGAGTCGGCCGGTGCGCCGAGTGGAGGGGACGAGTCTACGCGGTCCGATCGCGTGACGTCAACGGTCGGCCGAAGCGTGTCGAGTCCGGCCGGTTGACTCGCGGTGACCGGATCTCGTGGGCAAGACTTCCGACTTGAAGGGGGTTGACCTCGTTGTTGCAACTTGGTCTTGTGGTCAGGGAGACTATGTAGAACGCACCGAGTCCGAAGTCGTATGCCATTGTAGTTGTCATGATTCCCAGCATCTGACAGTGGACTTGATACATGCTCAAACGTTTCGCGCCAAGATACGAACTCGTCAAAGAGACAAGTGAAGTCAATCCCTTGACTTGTCTTCTTCATGTTATTTCATACGAAATGAAAGTCCCTTCAACAATGGAACCCCAGGTTCATTTCGTATCTACAGAGTTACAATACGACGTTCACTACAACGGGATTCATCCGTCCTCATCTGATGAGATCGACCAACGAATGTCTTCTTCATGTTATTTTATACGAAATAAAAGTCCTTTCAACAATGGAATCCCAGGTTCATACCTCAACGTTGCACATTTGCGATGAGTTGTAACGCTGTGCTGAGGACGACGCCGGCGCAACGTCTGGGAATGTACCAAGTCAACGGTGCGATGCTAGAAATCAGCCTGAATACTCGAGATTAGAGGCAGAACTGGGCACGTGCGACAAGGTCTTCATGTCGCTGCGTCCAAGTTGTCAAAAAGAGGTCAAACCAACGCAATTTTACGACAAATACAGGCTTATGAGTTGTATTCACCCTCTTTCGTTTTTATGATGACAAAAGGCCTGGTAATTGAAGGTATGAAGATCAAGACGGTGTGGCCTTTTGTGTGCTCACAGTCTCCTTTCGTTGTATAAAAGTTGTTTGACCTTTTTTTCACAACTTGGTCATGTTGGTAGGAAGACTTAGAGGAACTCTCCTAGTCCGGAGTCCCTTGTATGCATCATCATTTCCAGAGTAGAACCGTGGACGTGGTAGATTCCCAGACGTATTGCTTAATATGTCGAGATTATATGCTAAATTGGTATGGTTCGAGTCCCGCTGGGGCGCTTGTGAGCTCCATACGAGTTCGGTCATGTAATCCAACCAAATTGAGAGTTCCTTTTGTGAAGCCAAGATTATATGAACTCTCATGGAAGAGTAAGGTCTACTCAAATGCATGTTGGAAGATGCAACTACGAGTCCTTTTATAGAAGTTGTTTGACCTTGTTTTCGCAACTCGGTCATGTTGGTAGGAGACCTAGAGGGACGCACCTTGTCCGGAGTCCATTGTAGGCATCATCGTTTCCAGAGTAGGACCGCGGACGTGGTACATTCCCAGACGTTTCGCCGGCATCGTAAATGAGTCTCGCCATTCGTAGCACCATTCAACAACTCGTCAAAGAGACAAGACTTGTCCGACGGAAAAACGTTGAGACTAATGAAATTAGAATAAGGTCTATAGTTCGACGGAACATTGAAGTACGAAACCATTTCAAACTTTCCGTAAATCGCAGTTTAAGAAAAGACCTGAAAAGACATG